CTGGGACTCTCCTCCCCATCGTGCTCTGTCGCTGTCGTCTCCTCTCCAGCTGCTGATTTAACAAACCCAGACTCTGCTGAATCCATCGCTTCATCAGCGTCTCTCATTTTTTCTTCTTTGCACTTCCTGCCACTTTCTTCTTCTGTGTCACTTCTGACTTCACAGGCAGCCTCATCAGTTATTATTTTTCCATTTACTTCACTCTTAAAACTTTCTGAATTTGTACTTTTCTGGCTCTTCCCATCTTCTTTCATCACAGCAGCATCTTGGCTTTCATTCCCTAAATCCTGCCCTCCCACCTGTCCACGTTTTTTGGAAAGCTCTGCATCTCTTCTGTCCTCGGTGTCTTCCTGCCAACGGGCCACTTCAACAGTTGCTTGCGCTGCATCGTCCTCTGTTTTGTTGACCCCATTCTTGAACATCTTTTTCCCCCTTTCTTCCTCACAATAATCCCCATCATCATCGGTCTGTGCTCTATTAGCCCGCTGCTCTTCATGCTCCTCTGTGCTTCTACTTTCACCCTCTGGCTTAAAGTCAAGCGCTGCTCCACCGTCTGTCATTTTTCTGAGATTTCTTTCATTTTTGTCAAAATCAAACTTCCTGTGCACCACTGCCTGGGCCGATTCAAGCTCAAAATCAGCCTTTTGTAAAAAGGAGCCTCCCTGATATTTGGATTCTTCTTTTATTTCCTCTGCTGTTTCCTCTTTGACCTTTGGTGCTTGTCTTTTCAGCTGATTAGATGGTTGAAACACATCTTTATTCAGCTCTAGGATGTAGCTATATGCATCCTCCTCATCTGAATCCAGCGATGGTAAGCCGTAGATTCCTTCCTCGGAGCTTAAAGAATAGCAGCTTCGTGCACTGCCTTTCCTTTTTTTGTAATGTGAGTCTGAAGCAGTCCCAGCAGGTTGGTCGGAGGCAGCTGTTCCGTTTGTGCGAAAGGACGGAGAACGGGGACTTCCTGAAGATCTCCGAGACCAACGCTTCCACAGAAGCTGCTCGCTGCTCTTCTCCAAGCCTTCCAGCAACACCTGGACTTCTGGAACATCAGCGTCAGTCTCTTCAAAGCTGACTGACTCAAGTGATCCAAAACTGGGAATCTCGGGAATGTCAATATCTGGTGTGGGAGCCTGTAATATAAGCATGTCAGTGATAGCAGAACCAAAGAAATTCTGCTGGCATATAATAATGTCACACTATGAAGGTATTAGTAAGTCATTTATATATCATTAATCCTTCTTACTACGTCATTTATGAACAGATATGTTTATCCATCTGTTACTGTAGCAACAGACGTTACTGAGTGATATAAATTTATTTCTTTATATCTACCTCGCTGTGAGACTGTAGTGAAGGTGAACTTGAGCAGCACTAACCTCATCTGTGCCTGAGTGACACTTTGGGAACATCGAGACGTAGGTGATGATGGACTGCTCGTCTGGTGAAGTGCATGTCACATCTGCAGGGAACGATTAAAAAAAATCATATATGTGTGTGTGTGTGTGTGTGTGTGTGGCAAGGTGTTTCTGCGCAGTGTACCAGGGGCACGGAGAAAAGTTGTCGT